CTAGCTCAGGCAACTACTACTACTCCCCACCACCGCCACCTTATTCGCCTCCTGGTGGCACCACTGGATATTTCTACCCTCCACCTTACAAAAGCTACCCTTCAGGTCCTACACCACCGCCTCCAAATCCAATTGTGCCCTACTTTCCTTACTACTACCATTCTCCACCGCTACCTTCATCTTCTCCGCTGCTAAAACATTCATTTTCTTTCTTAATCACTGTGTTTATCTTTAACTCTCTTTTATAATCAAGGAAATCCTTTTAGCTTTCTTGATAGCAGGAAAATTGAAGAAAATGAGAATAAATTGTCAGATTCACAGAATCCTTCTCCACCAAATTCAGGGGGTGAGTGAATTTTCTAATTTCCAGTTCCATCGTGTTTACAAGTAGCTTTTTCGGCTAAAAAAGTGAATTTTAAGCACCTGCATTTCACAATGAAGAAAAATTGAAGCTGATGATGCCTCGAGCAGTGGAATATTCTGTAAATTCTTGATATTTCTCCCCCGCCCCCCTAATTTTTCCTGTCTATTAAGTTACCAATTTATATAAGCGGTTTTGGATAATTATGAAGTGTCAATTTCTAATTATTTAAACATCCCTTTCTTTATCTATGCTTGTTAATTTTAACTTATGATGAGCTTGTCTGCTTATTGTTACTTTGAATTTATTTCATACTATTACCATTAATTATCTGTTCAACTACCTGTACTGGCTGCAATTATATGGAGACGTTGAATGTGAACCTAATGCAATCCTTTTACACTAGTCGAGCTTGGACCTACTGTTAAAAAATCATAGGCATAGTAACATTCTAGCAACGTTGATCTTCGATGATGGATCTGTATGTGAAGCTAATAGAAGAATCTAGAAAAGTAAAATGTTTTAAGCGTGGACTCACTCCATTGGTCCTTTCTCACTTGCTTATTTTCCCTTTATCTATACACTGTATAATGGTACTACAAATGTGAGGCTGGTAAGCTTCCCAAAGGAATGCATGTTCTTATGAACTTGAAAAGTATTAGACAATGTAAAAGAAGAAGAAAAAAAATAATGAATCGTTCTTGATGCATGTGGCGTATGTTGCGACGGAGAGTTTTACATTGCCTACAATGTTTATATATCGCGGCGGTGTTGGATGAATAAATAGATTAGTAGGTGCGTGTTTTTTGGTTCGATTGACACATACATGTGTTCATGTTTTACGATTTCTATTGACAAGATAAATTAGATGATATTATATAGTAACAAGAAAGAAAAGGCATTAAAATCTTGATTATAATACTACATGATCGAATCTATCACTGTGTTAAACGTGCGCTTAAGTCATCTGGCATGACTGTGTAGTCTTGCATGAATAACATGGCATTTATTCGGACGGGACATTACTAGACACGAGCTCTACTTGTGAACATGTTTGTGCTTAAATGTGCATCGGACATCTATGACCTACTCATATGGTTTGTTCATTAACATTAAACATAACTGTCTATTATAGTGTACAATCCCGTCTAATGTATAGTATGTTATTGTGCTCTTAAATTCTAGCAGTGGCAAATGGTTGAGGACATCGAATCCATTGGCAAAGTGGAGTGTAGTATGTGTATCTTTATTTGTATTTAAACTGTGGGGATCATAGGTAAATTATTGTGGAGTGTGAATTTATTAGAAGGGATAATTGGGGTAAGGGGGTGTTAGCTGGATGCCAAACTTTTTCTTCTTGTGGGGGTCCTATAATTTGACAAAAGGCGTCCATGTGAAGAAAAGACACTTTTGGGTTGCTTAAATTTTGGTTGTTTTTGTGATTTTTAGTGGAGAAGTTATCATGGAATGTTACCTCGACTTGAGCGTTGGAATAAAGACGTTGTAAGATTAGAGATGTCGCTTTGATCATGCCCAAATTTTATCACGGGATTAACTTTTTTTTTTCTTTTTTCTTTTTCTAGCAGCTTAGCCGGCTCGGTTCTTTGAGTTGCAGTCTCAAATAGATATACTTGTAGTCTACGGGATGTTAATATTTAATGAACGGTTACGAGCATAATTTTAATTTTTGAGAAAGTTAATTTTTGTTTAATTCAAATCAAGCCGCCACTTCAAGTTAATATTTCAAAAAAAGTTTGGAAAGGAGATCTAATTACTTGGACAGAGACTTATTGATTTCAACTCAAGAGTCAAATTGAGAGAGAAATAGTTCCAAGAACATTATAAAATACAAGATGTATCAGTTCAATAAGCTGTGCAAAGTGCGTAAGAGAAACCATATGCTATTGTAAAATTGCAAGATCAAATTTATTGTCTGGTATTATTTTCATTGTTTTTAATAGTTGTTTTCAAACACGTAAATAATTGTAAGCTTTGTTTTGTTATGATTATATTGTAATTTTGTTTATGAATATCTTAATTATTTAATTAAACATTCAACTCAAATTATTCACAGTTAATTTCTTTCAATAATCTTTTTTGTAGAACATATTATAATTCATGCACTATTCACAGAGTCAAAAATTTAATTTTATCCACACATTTCATGATATTAAGATTTTTAACTGTTTTGCAACTTACATCAAAATCAACTAAAAATACTATTTTTAACAAAATCAAACAGGGCATAGTGTTTTGTTTTTTAGTTATTTCTCTCTTTTTTTATCTTTTTTTGGGTATGATAACAAGTCACTTAATATTGCAGAGCTTTAATATTACAGAATTACTTTTGCTATATATTAATATAACTGAGCTTGGTCATAATTGCTATTCCTACTATGTTTGTTAGTAAAAACTCTGGTCTCTAGTCTTGTTAAAATCCTTTCTTCTCACTGTTTCTATAAGACATGTCTTATAATTCGTTTGATTGGAATATGCATATTTACAATCACTATGTTATGCTATGTGTTTTTAGATTCTCGGACGATTGGCAGCTTCAATGGACAAACCATTTGTTTTGGTCTCAAAGAGGTGCCTGGAACCTTGTCATCCCTCAAACTGTCTATAGCCTCAAGATCAAAGATTTGACACAACAGCTTAGCATTTTCAGGTAATATCTTTATCTAGAATTCAAAGAATTCCATTACTAGTTTTACTTCATATCAAACCGACCAACCCAACCCGACTCGACCGAAACTTGATTGGGTTGGGTTTCAGTATTTACCAAGGTTGGGTTGGTTTGATTTTATATCGAGCCACCTTGTTGGGTTGGGGCCAAAAACTGACCCAGCACTACCCATGCCCACTCCTACGCAAAAACAAATTTTCAACAATAATTATTTAGAAAACCCAAAAAAGTTGTGAAAAATCGCAACATCCAGATCAAGTAAATCTATACCCACTTGAAAATAAAAACAATAACTTAATCTTAGCATTGTACCTCTTGTAGGAACTCAAAAAGGACACACACCGTATAGAATATAATTTATTTAAAGTAGATCCCCTTATAAGAATGGACACCGCATCATATTTCCAAATTTTTTGTTACATCATTAATTACCAGACAATTTTTCAAATGACAGCTTTTAGTTTATGATAATTTCTCTTCCAAGATAAACCAGCTGTCTTTATTTTTATATAAATGGGAGGGAGGATCCTGTGCTCACCAGTTCCGTAAATAATTGTATCGTTACCACGTGACAAGTGCCTAACAAAGTGGTAATCATTATAATTAAATCCAAGTTTACATCTAAATCGTAGTTAAATGTTTAATATATTTGCAAATGGGTGCTTCCAATGTTGACTTAAGCACCAATAGTAGTTAATGCATTGACGGACTGAGAACGTGACCATGGATTTTTTTTTTAAAAGTTGAGTTAGTGTTTGTTTGATAGAGATTTTAATAATTGATTTTTTGATCGTTAGAGATAAAGTGAGTCCTATCTATGGGAGAAGAATTTAAAGATTACGATTGAAATAGTGAAATAACGATAAAAAACTGATTTTAATTTGCTTAAAATCTGTATCAAATAAGCACTTAACTCCCGTCTGTTTCTCATTCTTTGTCCCTATAAATGATAAATATGATCATTATCCATCACTTCAAACCATCATATTTGACTTCCTCTCTCTTATGTGGGTTCAATAACGACTGTATTTTTCATTCTCATTCTTATAAGAATGGAAATTAAACGGGGACTTAATATGTAAAAAAAATGAATAATACTATGTAATCTCACAGGATTTGCAACCCAATTTAGGTGGCACTAAATGATTGGTTAAGCGAACGGTGGAATTAAATAATTCATTTAATTCTGTATATCAATTAATATCACATTAGCGTTGTAAGTATTATGCCCTAGGTCCAATCGACTTTGGACATAAATACTTTTATATGTAATTAATGCAATTAAATGGCAGATCTATTATTTAATTAATAGACAATTAAATAAATAATAGAGTCCGTAGATTCAAATATTTGTAATTTGTTAATCACAAGGAGTTGTGATTGTGAGATACAAATTACATCTGATTGAATCTTAAATCATCCGTGGTCGTAAGTAATAACGAGATACGGATATCGTTATTACGGATAGACCATCACGTGTGGCATTTCTTACTTGTGAAGTAAGTAGCTGATCTCACAAGTTAAAGTGTGGTGACACTTAAGTGAACACGTGGATGTTTGTTATAGAACAAAACATTGGAGACCCGTCGAGAGATTCCACATGGATAACTATCTGAGTGTCAGTGGTTAATCTCTAACGTTCGGTAGTGGAATTGGTCCTTTTGACTTGAGGTCGTCATAGTACCTTATATGAGGACAGTCATACTTTGGCGGTGTTGGATGTTGCTCTGAAAAGGGCCGCTAATACGATATCGTTCGGGTATGTCAAGAATCGTATGAAGGTTGTGATTGATCAATAAAGGATTCGTCACTCTTAGATAGTAGGAGATTATGATCTGCGTTTCATTCAATTAAGTCAATGATGAAATCCTTGGCCAAGATGT